TTAATTAAAGCATATAAAAATATATGTTTTATCCATGATTTTGCATCTGTTAAAGCATTATAAAATATATGTTTTATCCATAATTTTTGCATCCGTTAAAACATTATAAGATATACATTTTTTCCTTATTTTTTGTATATATTTTTTTTCACTTTTCCATATTAAGTTTATAATTTTTTACATCTGTTAAAGCATTATAAGATATACGTTTTATCCGTGATTTTTATATTTGTTAAAGCATTATAAGATATACGTTTTGTTCATGATTTTTGCATTCATTAAGTTTAAGGTTTTTACTTAAGAAAAAAACGTATACATTATACTGAAATTCCATAAAAATTATACGTTATAAAACTTTATATTTTTATAGAATTTTTATATCAAATTTTTTATTGGGAATAGAATCCAAATAATTAGCTGTAGCGCAAATGTTATTTCAAATTTATATAATAATCAGATTTAGGATATTATAAATGATTTTCCCAAAAAGCTAATAATACGGATGATGAAAATTCTGTTCCAATTTGGAACGGATATGTGACTTTGAAACTAATAAAACTGATGCATTAGCGAATTTTATAAGAGTGGCAAATGTACCATTTGCATCCCAATCTAAACAATTAATGACTGATTCTATTTTCGCAACAAAACATTAGATCAATATCCCAGTTTATATAGAAAATTTAGTAGTGAAAATTTTGATTATTATAGAATTACCGATGAGACTTCATGTCAATTATGCAAGCTAGATCATGATGATAAGGAAAATATATATAAAGCTAGATCTTATTTTATTAAATGTGAACAATACGAAATTGAGATAGTTGTATAGTCTCATTGCTCTTTCTTATATTACAGATATTTCAAAACTATTTTCTTAGAAATGTGATAAGATATATTAGTAAGTTTTCTATCAGGAAATTTTAATCTTTTTTTTCGAATAAATATGAGAATAAAAGGAATTTAAACTGACTCACAATCATATAAATTTAGACATGACCAAGTCTGATAAAATATTAACTCCTAAATACTTAGATTGTCATACTAAATTAACTGGGTTACCAAGTGTTTTAACGGATAAGATTCAGTCCAACTTATACAAAAAATATAAAAAGAAAACTGGATATGAGCTATGGCAATTATCAGAAGCTATGATAAATATATCAGCAAAACCTCAGATCTTTAATTTCAAGCTCATCACTTTCAAAGCCAGATCCGATCTAAAATTAATTATTAAATCTGTATTAGAGCATTTCACATACTTGAAATTCTAAAATAGTTTTAGAGGGATTGATAATTATAATTTTGTATCTGCTCAACTATGAAGCTCACCATATCCTATTTGTGATGGGAAGCATGGGAATTATAAATTATATAGCTCATGGTACTGTAGAAATGGGAATCAACTCCCCTATAATCTTAGATTAGCAAAGTTATTACCTCAAAATAAGTTGGAATATTGCCTTACCTGCAATACTTCAGGCAATAAATTCAAGTTCGCATTCATAACATAGGATGAAATAAATCATGTGAAATCAATTATCTTATAAAATGCGGTCGTTACTCATTGCTATGATAAATGCACTGCTAAAATAATAGGACTGTGCAAATCCTAAGGTAAATGAAATTTTGGTCATATGAAAATTTTTTTTATTATATTAATATTTATATATCATGCCGAATCTCTTAACAAACAATCAGGATAGTACAGCTTATAAAGAGCTGAAAGGCGCTTTGCTAAAGCAGAACTATTTTGAAAAATGGTATATATTTAGGGGATGAAAGCATAGATGTAAGGTTTTTAAGAAATGCAATCATCACTCATATCTATATTGCAAAAGGTATAAGAAGGTAGTGGAAGAAACTTATAAGTGATATGAATGTCTTCAAGTAATTTGATCAATAAAGCAATAGTGCAAATTTACCAAACATTTTATAATTTTTCACATATAATGAGTGATGGGATTGTGTAAAGCAAAGTGTATACTATTATCTTTTCAATCAAGTTTATTGTAACTTAATAAATAAACATGCAGTAATATTATAATAATTATTGCATGTATCACAGGAATAAGTAATTGTGCAAAATAATTTATTCTCAAACTTTCTTGCAAATTCTCAAAATTATGTATAACCCCTTGATGATCTTTACATATGGATTATAGATAGTATTAAATTCTTTATTATTAAATTAAGGAGAAGCTGTTGATCAGATTTTCATGATATATTTATATTAACGTAATTTTCCCTAAAAGCATATTTCAAGATTGATCCTGCAAATTGTATAAAAAAATGATGTCTTGGCTAGTGAATCCTTTATCTGCCTTATGCAAGTAAAATAAAAATCAAGCAAAAAAAAATTCAAATCAATCAAGCTTACCATTATTAAAATCATTGATATTAACAATCAAACGAACTTGTATTTTCCACAAAGTTATAATAAAGTAAGTTAGTTTATTGCTCAGCTAGCTTCTTGAAACATGTTATCACAATATTAATCGATTTTCCCGCCTCTATAGATGTTCCAAAATAAAACGGACGTATTACTCTTCTTGTTATATATCAATGTTTTGATCTTTACTGAAAAAATCTTTGACAATCATCACACGTAAAATAGGCACAGTGAAATTACTCACATAAATCTCGTCACATGCCTTAACATCACACTCCTCAATAAACTTTAGCGCAGTAGCGTACTGGTAATAAAAAAATCAAATTACCTTTATTGTAATGCATTAAGTAATAAATTTCAGGCAGAATGTAACGGTAATGTTGCGAAAATTAATAATAATGGTAAGTATGAATCGGAAATATTTTTTTTTACCTCAGTTGTTAATTTCCTGAATTTATGCCGTAGATTCGAAATTACTTAATCTCGAAGAAGTTTCATTGCGGGAATATTATTTTACATGATCTGCGTGTTTAGGAGAGATATAGATAGACAAAAATTCTATAATATGGGTGGGATAATTTATTTCAGAAATCTAGTATAGTAAAAGAGTGTGGGGATTAGAATCTTGTAGTTAATAGCGATAGAAACAAAATAGCTATAGAAATTCATAATAAATGTGGGACTCGCATTAAATGGCCTAGGATCCGCTTACTCCCACCCTCTTTGATAGCATCATACATTTCATTCGCTTCTCTAGCATTTTCTGATTCGGGTATGTGAAAAATCATTAATAAAATTCAGGCGTTTGCATCAAAATCATGTGACTTTAAAATTGATCAATAAATATGATTGATCGACACCAAAATTATGAGTTTTAACATTTTCTTTCTACACACATTACATATTTTTTTTTTCGATCGATAGTTATAATGTCAACAAAACCATATCCGGGTCGAACAGGCAAGCATTAATTCAAAATGTGTGAAAAGAGCTTCTTTTGTATTGGACACTAATCGGTCATATTTTGCTTTCAATAGCCCTCGAATCTTACTTAACCAGAACTGCACCCAGTTCCGTGTCATACTTAGGGTTTTTGGAATCAAACCGCTCTTTAGTTGTCAAAACACCTCCATTGTCAGAAAATTGAAAGGACTCAATGGAGCGTGGTACAGCCGATATTTGCAAACATCAAAAAGATTGAATTTACCACCAACGGTGCGAGTCGCAGAAGAGGTAAATATGTTTCAATTTAGCCGACCATAGGGCACCTCTTGACAGGTTTTACCTGAATCCAGAGTATAGGTATATTTTCCTAGCCCAAGTAATAGTGAAGAGCACCTCTTGACAGGTTTTACCTGAATCCAGAGTATAGGTATATTTTCCTAGCCTCACTATTTGCGATCTTGTCTATTTGGTTTTGATTTTGTTATAGAGCTCCTTATTATCATATCGCATATTCATATACATTATTTTCAAAGGATACTCATTCGTATTGGGAAGAAGTGATAGATGAACGCAAGAAGGCAGGTGAAAAACCTTTATTTGTGCACATGTTAATTTATAACTACACATAAGCGAAACTATCAAATTGTCTTTATAGAATCGTGTAAAAGGAACTATTCGATCAAAAACAATTGATATATACCAAGCTGTGGGGGAGAACGTTGGTGATGAAATCGTGGACGAATGCCAACAATCATCGAAAAGACTCAAGAAGGACGAACAAGGACAAAGTCGATCAAGAAGCGGAGCAGATTATCATTCAGAAAATAATGTTGAATCGCAGGATCCAGTCTCTGCATCTGATGATGATGATTCGGACGTATCTGATCAGGTATATTATATTCGGGATAGGTGTTGTTAGCCATAAACGCTTATTATGCTTACTATTGTCTATCACGTAAAGGAAGCGATTGATAATCAAGAAGTTAAGGAAGCGACAAACGATAAAGTAGAAGTGACGAAGAAAAACAAAGTAAATCCTATTAGATTCTTGGCTTTGTGTATACTGAATACTGATAAGAATCTATGTTCTTGCCATTTAGACGGGACCACTTAGACTAAGCGAAGCAAATAGAAAGGAGGTTGACGAAGCTTACAAGTTAATGGATAGACGATACATGTGGAAACTTTCGTCGGGAAAAGTAATCGAAGATGAACTATATAAATTAGGGAGGGAGCTGGAGTTTGAACAGTTAGTGTTCATGCGTGAGGTTATGTTTGCGTAGGAATAATTGTACTAAATTGAAGTTTTATTCCCTAGTGCTGTTCACTCATTTATCCTGGATATCGATGACGAGTTGGTTGCAGACTGTTTCACCGAGACAGAACTTCGTGAGATAAAGCTCACACCTATCCCAGAAGTTCCCGAACTCTCAGATGAAGTTAATGATTTTCTGAATAAATTTATCGGAAAGGTAATAAATATTTCATTTACATGTTGCTGGCAAACATTTGCATAATGCAGTAAGTCATCGAGTTCTTTCTAATTTGCTGTAGACGAACTTAAAGGAAATACGACAACTAATAAAGGAATTAAGTTTCGGTATTGATTATGATTGTGAAAAGCATCACGATATGGACTACATATGCCTGGCTTTACATGCGTTGTAAGTTACGGTTTCTACTTTTGTTCTTTGCGACCGTCTTTGTGTGATGTCAACAGTGAATTGACTAAAATTACTTATAGAATTAGAGAAATTGAAAGTGGAAAAATAACGGAAGCAAATCTAGAAAACTGGTTTAACTGCCACGTCTGGAGTATGGTCTTTGACCACGCATTCGAAAATATAAAGGCCATATCTGTCATCAGGTATTTTCTTTCTTTTTTTCTAAAAGTGTCTTCTTTGATTTAATGTGATTTCTTTCTTTTAATGATCAAGAGGTGAAAGCACGAGTGTATCGACAGCCACTCGAAAAAATAAAAAAACGAAAAGGAAATTAGGGGACCGTCGAAAAATTGGTCGTAGAGGAGACTGGATCCTCAGAGCTGTCGGAAATGGTGATAAAAATGAATTTGGGGCGGGAGAGGCGGGTAAAAGTTGGGTTGACCAATACGGAACGAAATATCTTAGAGAAGGAGGGCTGAAACTTCCAAAGGTACTTAAAGACATGCTATTAAACTTAATGGAGAAAATAGGTTGGAACGAAGAAGCACGCAAAAAAATACAAACCATAGGAATTATTCATGGAGGTATATGACTGATCTTGATTTCCATCAAAGTGTCCATCGTTAACTAATATCTTAATTATTTATAATAGGCCTTATGATGACAATAGCATATATCGATAACCCAATGGGTTACATTTGCAGATTGCGACGTAGTGATTTGATGGAAGTGCCCGATATGGCCGAAAAATTCGAATCAATTTTGACAACTCTTGCATCGGTCTTGAATATAAAGGTTAGGTTCATAATTTTGTTAGATATGTTTTACATACAAAGCTGATGTATTTGTAAATTTAGTCTGTAGTCCGAGAGACGATAAAGATCGTCCAAAGAAGTGGACAGACTAACAAATCATTTAAGAGTGCCGGGCTTCGGAAACGAACTCGAAATGAAAGTCAGCACCATTTATCTGCGTGCATGTCAACCCCAAAGAAAGCGAGAGTGTGTAAAGTGAGTACCGAAAGACCATATCCTGCGTCACCATGTCCAGGATCACCAAATGCTGATCCATTGATTTAATTAGCGAAGTGGGAAAGTGGGAATTAGTTTAGCTTCATATGCTGTATATTGTTAAATTAATATCTTTGGCTTTGACCTTTTTATTTATATTTTGTTAATATATGTATGCGATGTATCGAAAAAAATATAAAATTATAATTTCGTCTCAAAAATCAGATGACCTTGTGTTAGACTTTCTTTTCTACTTTTCGATTCTTAGCAAAACAGAACGCGCTTATGTACAGTACTGTATATAGCATGCGCTTTATATTTTAACCATTGTTAACTTATAATTGCTGTGTGAATAAACTAAACTGCACACTCACCGATCATCCTGTGATTTGAGAAACAACTCGGCGCCTAAGGGAGCTAGGGTGATATAATATATGTCATGTGGAGAACCCTTTAGCTCGGCTAATCACCTATTGATCACGAGAGATTCACAAACTGATGTAAATATAAAATTAGCATAGCCGAGATATGACCCTATATAAATTCCCGATATGCTTATAATCGAATAAAAATGAACCCAATATTTTATTATAATATACTTGTTACAAACTGCTATAAGTCTTTAAAATTGCTATAATTTGCTATAATTTTACTACACCCGTAAAATGGTTAAAACTACCTACTATTCTGGTTAAATCCTGTAGTAGTGCAGGCGTTAAATAATCCGCAATATAGATATAGTGGTAAAACACCAGAAATGTGGTGTTCTTGTGTTTGTTATCCATTTAAGAAACTTCTTGAATATAACCCAAATACTTCTCCAAGAATGGGTTTATTTAAATGATTGAAAGAGAATATATAGATGGGGAATTTGAAGCTGGGAGACGCTCATTTAATATTTATTGCACTGTATGTGACTCCTTGATGTTTATCTGTGAAAATATGCGAGCGATCACCTTAATAAATGTATTGCTAGAACGGACAAAAAGAATCTTGCATATTCTAATCATACACGAAAGAATGTGAAAAGGAAGGAGTAGGTCCTAGAGAGACCACACCAAGCTGAAAAAGAGTATTAATACTCAGTTCTAATAAGATTAAAAAGATTTACCAAATATATTGTTTTATATTCAGAAAAGGCTTGAATAATTATACTTATAAACATTCAAATGAAATTAAAAAAAGGATTGTAAATCGCTTAATTAATAATGTAAGAGTTATTCAATAGACTTGAAGGAGTTACAAGAGTCCTGTGTCATTCGCATCTCAAATTTGAAATATGTTGAGAAATAATGGTACTACTGATAAGAAGAAGTTTTTAGGTAGTAATTGGATAAAAAATAAGAAAATTTAACTATTTATAAGATTTCACAAAGTATCAGAAAAAATGATTGAAAATTCTGAATATTATCATAGACATGTAACTGCTTATTCAAATAAATCACGTGATGAATTATCTGGTTAGCATATTCGCATTTTGGACTGGATAATTATATTGGAATGGATGTATATATATAACAGTATAAGGAAATATATCTCATGTGACTCTCCAACAAAATTTTCAACTCTTATCCAATTATATAATATAACTAATATAGATTTATTAGATATGAATAATAATTGTGAATGAATTTTCAAGATCAGTATTTAATCAAAATTCCAAATATTATCAATAAAAAAACTATATATTTTTTACTTCACTCTACCACAATGCATATAGGCGTGTATGACATAAATTAGCACGTTTTTGATCCTCATTAAATTTTATATAATGTAATAATGATACACTGCAAATCATCTGTACGAGTGCAATTATCGCTTATATGACAAATTAATTTCTATACATAAATCAATCCCCTAAAAAATTTTGAATTTTTTTCTCGCAACATTTAACAGAATAAAATTTAACAGAATAGTATTTACTGATATGTATTTTGCTCTAGAGGGATAGGCTCTGATACCACTGATTCTGAGTAGAATATATTTATATAACATTACCAGGTCTTAGTAGTAAGCAGTCAGGTAAGCAAAAAAAGTTTATATATCTATTATCTCTAACATCATTCTAAAAGTTGAGATCTTTAATGCACATTTCACATGCCCTTATTTTTAAACACAAAATTTTAGCGTAAAATGCCTTACACAGTTCTCTTATCTCTTTTCCTAATATGAATGTGAATTAGAGAGAACATGAATAGAAAAGTTATCAGAGATTTAAAAGACAAGTGTATTTAATTCAAGTCATTTATCACTTATTATTTTTTTTAGTAAAATTCTAACATTATATTTTTCATCATTATGTCTTCTTTCGCATTATATGAAAATATTTATAATTTTTTACTTAATTCACCCTCAGATTATATTACCACACTTTTTGTTATTTTTTAACTAATAGAAGATAATGCGTGATATCTAAAAAATAAGTTAAAAGAAATAATTCATTAGGTAATTATAATAGTGAAAAAGAATTATGATCAGACTTCAGAAAAATATCTAAAATTCGTTAATATTTCCTTGAAGATTAGTGATTATTATTATTATTTTTCAGATTTATAATCCCAAATGATGATTGCGTAGAATGATATTTTTATAATCAGATTAAGTGAGTACCTATAGCCATATGGATACAGATTTAATCATATATATTAATTTCTTAGATACACAGGAGTAAATCTTAGTTATAGTTTGTGAAGAAAAAATATAGCATTCATGTATATTGTCAATTATATGCAGGTCATATATAGTTAATGATTTACTTAAAATATGTTGATAGATATACGCATATGATTCTAATATCAAAAGATTAATTATATTAGTACTAATATAAGGCTTCTGCGCTAGTTTAATGATGCATACAAAAGTGTAAGTAGTTTTCAGAGTATCAAAGAATCAAAATAAGAAGAATCGCTCATTAAGAATAAAATCGAGACAAACTTGCATGTGTTGAAAACTAATTTTAAAAACAGTATGACTTTGTAAATATTTAAAGAAGAAAAGTGCTTTAGACTTATCATGACGTATTCTACTTGCTAATCAAGTAATTTGTGCAGATTCAGAAATGGTGAAAACTTTAGAAGTAGATGCATATAACTTTTTTATGATGAGTAACTTAGTAAATAGTATTTTGTATTGCTATAGTCCACTTTTGGCAAAGAGTATCATATTAATATTATGATCTTATAGAATCTGGTAGAGCATATAAAAGTAACTGCTTCAGACCTTATCAAAAATAATTGTGATTCCTTTATTTTGAATTTTATAGACAATATTACAGATATCCAAATAATAGACTTTTACATGATAAAAGTTGGAAAGAATCTAATGAAAAACTAGCAAAAGTTATGTTAAGTATACTTGATATCTTGTGAGTATTTTAATAATAAGAGTTTTAACAATCATATTTGTCATTTTTTAAAATTTCTATTTAAAATTGCATTTAACATTATTCTTTATAAAAGAGATATTTGGAAAAATCCTGCTTTTAGTCTAAAGCTGATTAAGTCATAAAGTGAAGGAATATACATGATCGATTTAATAGTTTTGATGATTCGAGCATCATTAAAAAATCTTTCAATTAGAAAATCTGGTTATATTTTTACAGCTGAATGTCAAAGTATAGCTAGCAAAGATTGAAATGGAGTTGGAAAATAATCAGATGTTATGTTCATCATTAGTTGTAATAATAAGTCATATGAATTAATTTATGGTAAAAGTTCCTATACCATTTATGACGAACAAAAAAGGAAAATAATAGGGTAAAAACTTAGAGAGAGAGGAATAATAGAATGTATTAGACTCATAAAAGATGCAAACCTGACAAAAATAATTTTAGTTTATTAGGATCCAAATCGTCAGAACTGAGATGTATCTAAATATTCTTATTTTAGGTATAGATGAGATACATCGTTTCTATAATTTGTGTATAGTTGAAATTTTGATACAGCTAACAGATGGAAATATAGTGTTTAAATTTGTTAAAACTTTATTGACAATATGGGTATGTAAAATACAATTCTTATATTTCACTTGCTTAAAATTAACACATATTTATAATTATAGAATATCTTGTACATCAATATATCTCTTTTATATTATGTGCTTTCAACTAGTTTAAGTAGTAATACAAAAAATAACTTCACAATATTTTCTCTATCAAAATCATCATCACTACCAAAAATGAAAAAAGAAAGTCCTATAAAATTTGAAAAAAAATAATCTAATTGTTATTTGTATTACTGTTTCAATAAAATACCTGATGGCTGTTTTTTTTTGTATTTTTATTATATGCTTAAATCTTATAACTTGTATTTTAGTATATTATTTTAGCATAGCAAAAATTGCAAATTATGTCCTGAATATTATGTATTTTATTTTTTCCTGTATCAAAGGTTAAGCAGACTATTTTAATAAAATTTTCTTAGTAAAATTTGGGTGACCTGGGGTTGCTAAAATCACATGAATTTTCTTGGTAAATTTTAGTCAGAGTCTTGATCAAACCCGATCATCTGAAATGCGCAGAAGAAATTTGGTAAAATTCTTGCCAACTGACGTTAAATCACATGATTTTTTATTTTAGAATATTCTGGTTAAGATCACGCAAAGATCTATATAACACTAGTTGAAATAGTCTATTTCGATTAAAATTTGACTGTCCAATTTTAGGTCGAATTATAACCTAAAGCTGATCGATTTCCTTTATGATGATTGGTGTAAAATGGCTGCCACTCGCCTATTAATCATACCAAGCAAATCGTCACATAATCGAACAAAATTCAACCAAGTTTTAATTATCAATCATACCAAGCAAATCATCACATAATCAAACAAAATTCAACCAAGTTTTAATTATGATGAATCATCTCAATAAATTACTGTATCAGATTAATTAGCTTTATTTTTATTTAATTAAATTCACTCAATTAAAACAATAATATTTATCGAAATTAATAATAAATTTTATAATATTCTGTAACAACTGAAAATAGATCATATGAATTACAACCAAATGAATTATTCTAACATATCATTATAATAATTATTATCGTTCGCAGGCTCATACTCATCGCACTTTTGACTATTTTTCTTTGTTTCAAAGCTTTCTTATAAAGTAAATAATCAGACTGTAGAAGTGCATCACGAATTTCACCGTAGGTAGACGATTCACCTCTTTGATGCTCTTCATCAACATCAATTAAGATTCATCTTTCTTTATATAATAATTGATTTTGAGTATCTTTATCCGACAATTGATTTTGAGTATCTCTATCTGACAGTTGATTTGAAATATTTGGAGTTTTTTCATGTTCAAAATTCGTCTTGTAGAGTGTGTTTTGATCAATATACGTCCATTTAGAAGCATTACGAGAGTATGATATCTTGCAGTTATAAGTATTATCATTATAGTTTTGATGTCTTGTCAATTTTAATGCTTGTAATAATAACAAATGCAGATCAATTATCTTGCGAAGAAGGTGTTTCAACTAATAAAAAAAACTAATATTAATATTATGAAAATGAAACTTACTGAAATTTAATGCTCTGAATAGTTCAGTTCAGTCCAGATTATAGGCCAATCTGAAACTGAACCAAAAATTCTGGTTCGGTTCAGTTCAGATTATAAATCTTAAAAATGCTAATCCAAAATTGAACTGAATCGTAAACTGATAAAAATCTGAACTGAACTGAAAATTTTAGATTAATCCGAAAGTTCAGTTTGATATATTCGAATCTTGAAGGAACCCTAATATGTAATTCTCTAAAGAGTTTTGCAATTATTCTGCGATTCTCTTAGAGTTTCACAAGTAATTTGCGATTCTCTTAAGAGTTTCACAATTACTTTGCGATTCCCTTAGAGTTTCACAAGTAATTTGTGATTCTCTTAGAGTTTCACAATTACTTTGCGATTCTCCTTAGAGTTTTGCAAGTAATTTGTGATTCTCTTAGAGTTTCACAAAAACTTTGCGATTCTCCTTAGAATTTGGCAAGTAATTTGTGATTCTTTTAAGAGTTTTGCAAGTACTTTGTGATTCCTTTAGAGTTTCGCAATTACTTTGCAATTCCCCTTGGAGTTTCGCAAGTAATTTGCGATTCTCTTAAAGTTTTATAATTACTTTGCTATTCCTTTAGAGTTTCGCAAGTATTTTGCGATTCTCTTAAGAGTTTCGCAATTATTTTGCGATTCTCCTTAGAGTTTCGCAAGTAATTTATGATTCTCTTAAGAGTTTTATAATTACTTTGCTATTCTTTTAGAATTTCGCAAACAATTTGCGATTTCTTTAGAGTTTCACAAATATTTCACAATTTTTCAATTCTCAGAGTTTCACGATCTTATTTTTACAATTCTTTTAGAATTCTCTTTTTTTAATTACTTATTCTTTATAAATCCATTATTTTTTTTAACTTTTATTTAGTTTTAGTAATATTTATTTTATTTTGATAATTTAAAAATAAAAATTAC